GGGGGGTTCAATTTTCACAGTTTCAACAGCAGGACTGAATGGGGAATCAAAAAAATCCAACACAACCCACACGGGAAAAGGCGGGGAAGGAGAGGGGAAGGAGGAGAAGGGCAGCGTGTGGCCGTGATGGAGAGGTGGGCTGGGGTAGGGCAGGGGGGGAAGATCTCAGATGGAGAGAAGCCCTTCGATTTTTCGAAGGGACCAGCCTTACCTTTCAATTAAGTCTTTCAAACAGAGCTTGCTTCAGCTCCTAAGCGATAATTGTGCTAATGAAACACCAGCTAAGTATTGAAAACATGATTTTTTTTTTTTCCAGCTGCATATTAGGCCTTCATTAAGCAACTACAGAGGCTTTTAATGAATGTTTGATTAACACAACATCAGTCCTCTTACAGCCAGGTGAAATACCTAATTTAAGGAAAGTCACCAGAATCTGCTGTGAGTTCAGATCCATCCTCACCCCCGTTAGTGGAGACACCCGTTTGCACCAGTGGGGTCCCCAAACATGGCAAGGGTCTGTGGACAGGGGGCCACAGCCTCATCCTGGGGGGCTTTGCCACACGAGTGGCTCCCGCATCTCTTCACAGGACCCGGAGTCATTTTTTTAAAGCACACGTCATTTTTCACCTCGTTGTCTTTCCCCTTCCTCAGGGGTGGCTCTCGCAATGCTCCTCAGCATGTTTTGGCAGCAGGGCCGTGCCTGGTCCCGTCCCGCAGGGCTGTGGGAGGCTACATGCATCGGTTGTCCCACCAGCTTAATTTCTTGTCTACAGAGCAATGGATCTTTCCTCCAGTTGCTACATGGGATGCAAAACTCATCCCACTCTAGGCTGGGATGAAGAGTTTAAGAAAGATCAATCACCTTTGGGATCTGGGTGTCTGGACAATGGTGTCTTGCTAGCGATGTAATGGACACTTAAAGTCTTTGGTTGTCACAGAGAGAGACATGGAAAAGCCATCGAAAGAGAAAACACGGAAACGCTTTCCCTTCACAAGGAAAATCCCACTGAAACCGATAGGAATGGAAAAGGTAAGGGATGCAAGAAAAACACCAGCCAAAATCCCTACTGCAGGAGAAGGGACTGTTCCCTCTGGTTGAAGCCCAGAAGAAGTCAAAGTCCATATTTCTCCAAGGATGCTACATCCAGAGAGCGGGTAATGTCCTGCAGAGGAAAGGATGGAGGGGCTGGAGGACCTGGGGTGCCAGGGAGGGAGGGGAGTGGGCACAAAGGAGGGGAAGGAACAAACCCAGAAGCAAGGACAGCCGGGGACAAGGGGACACGAACCTGGGAGCATTACCAATGGAAGAATACACTTTGGAGATAATATTATTAGGAAGTCCCTCGGGAGAGGAGCTTTATGCCTGACAAAGAGGAGTCATTGCTTGCTTCAGAGAGAAGTCCCCAGGGCAGGGACCCGAGAGGGCAGGCAGCAATTTCAGCTCGATCAAACGGAGTCACCTGCTCACCTTCCCCGCACCAGCGCCAGACTCGAGTTAAATCGGAGAACGCGCAGTCAAAAATAACCATGTTGCATAAAGTTCTGCATGCACCTCTTGCAAGAGAGAAGCAGGTTATCAAATAAAAAGAAAGAAGGAGGGGGGGAAATAAAAAAACCTAAACAAAAACTCAACCCTGCAAAACATATTGTTCCGTATTTAAAGTTTGGAACGGGTCCTTTTTGTTTCTCAACTGCTTATATACATCTGCTGCCTAGCAACTGGGGCTGCAAAGCCATGCACTAAAATTAACGAGGTGCTTGCAGATTGAGGAAAGGCACTCAAGGACCAGGGAGATAAAGGCAGCAGCCCCAGGATTGTGTTTCAGCCCGGAAATCTGAAGGAGAATGGAAAAAAAAAAAACACAACAACAAAAAACAAACCCAAAACCAACTCAGAAGAAGGGTCAAGTGCAATCACAGGAGGGAGATGCTGGGATTTGTTTACAGCAAGAGATGATGTCTCTATTAATTCTGCTTCAGAAAGGATCCTTTGTGTGCTGGCTAGCAAAAACCAGCACAAGATCTGTTTGCAAAGCTACACATCAGCAAAAATGAATAAACATAAACCAGCAAGGCCAGACCTGGCTCCTGACCTCCAGCAGGCATTTGCTCCCCATCTGCTGTGGGAAACTTGGGTTGAACCGAAGGATCTCTGGATCCCATTGCAATTTACTGGAAGAATGTGGAGAACTCAGAATAACGAGGACATAGAAGGAAGACGATTATTAAAATGCCATCATCAAAGCCTGAGATATAAACCAGCACTGTAACCAGAGTCACAAATTACAGAAATCTGGTGTGAATTCATTGAAATTGCCGTGGTTGGGCAGAATTGGTCAGAGAGGGTTTGATCTTCGGAGGCTGCGCTGGATCCCGATCCTTGCACTCGCCTCTCAATACCAGCATGAGCATCTCTGGCTTCAGGCTGTCTCAGTGCTTTCCTGAATCAGAAGCTGCTCCCTGATTTACACCACACTTGAAGCACATTTGCAGCTTATACAGAAATCCTGGAGCTGGCTCGGACCAGCCCGGCGCTGCCCCGGCAGAGGAGAAGCAGGGGCAGGCGATGGAGCAGCCCTGCTACAAAAACCAGCCAAAAGCAAATTTGAGGGGTGCTGCAGGCAGTTCCCCCAACTCCAGGGAAGACTTCCCCTCAAGGATATGGTTATTGGAATAAAATTGCCGCGCACCAAGCCAGGGCATGAATTTACAGGGAGTTACACCATGGTACCAGCTGGCTGCAAAGCAAGCGTGGGATCAATTG